CGAAGTCACAGAGACCTGCCTGGCTCTGCCTCCCAAGTGCTAGGATTAAAGGTGTGCGCGCGTGCGTGCACCGTCGCTTGACCTTGGGTTGGTTTTAAGCCTCAGAAGAACACGAGGGCTATAACTAGTGGGAAGAGCAAGAGGAAGAGCAGGCATCAGAGCTATGCAAGCTGGGACACCCAAGGTTTGGGGGTCGATGGGATGACACTGGGGGCAGAAGCATTTGGTTGCTTCTCACTGATGCAGAGATCACCTGGGCTGTCAGGAAGAAAATGGATTAGGATATGGAAAGGGGAGCATGGCAGCTGCTTGAGCGGCTTCCTGGGTTGTTCAGGGAAGGTGAGAGGCTCTTGGCCAGCGTTAGGTACATGAGCACGAGAAAACGGATTTGACGGGTTGCTGGGAGTTGATGTGAAGAACTAACAGATAGAGAGGCCATGGGCGTGAAGGGTGGGAGGGAGGGGCTGTGGCTCAGATGGCCACAGGCTCTGAGGCAGTGTGAAGACATTCACATGGGTAAAGAAAGGGTCTGTGGGTAAGGCCAGCTCCCTGTGGGCTAACCTCCTCAAAACGGAGGCATGGAATCGGATTGGTCCCAATGCTTAGCACCCATTAGACAGACATGTCTAAGACCAACCAGGAGGGACGGGTCAGGCAGAAAGAGGAAACTGCAGGTGAACTCTGCATGGACCTCAGAACTGATGGCCTAGCTTTGGTGGAGAATAGTGGAAGCACACAGGAAATGGAGACACACATGCAGAACCACATGTGAGGGGGGGACCTACTGATGTCCTTTTCCTACCCATCATGAACCACAACTCTCCCTGTGAACGGCCCAGGGAAGGCACTCTGCGCTAAATAAACAAGGAGGCCTGGCCACAAATTCCTGCAGTCCATGTGGCAGCCGGGCCAGGCCTCCAGGCCAGCTTGAGTTCTGTATTACCTGAATCTACCTGTTATACCTATAGTCTGAGGCCAGGAGAACCAGCTGAGAGTGTGGCAAGCAGAACCCTGTGAGCCTACAAGGATGGGGTATAGTTCACTGTTCTGACCAACAGCCGAGTGTTGGGCTGAATTCTCGGGGTTCTCCTGTTCTACCACTACTACAGTCTTCCAAAGAAAGGCCTGGCAACTATGGCCCAGCCCATGCCACCCAGCCCTCTGCCTGTACAGCCCAGAACCACAAACAAGTTTTATATTGGTTGGGGGAAAACTGAAAAGAATGGCTTGTAAACATCTTATAAAATCCACATTTCCGTGTCTACCGATGAAGTTCGCAGATCCATTCATGTCCATGAAACCACCCTGCCCAGGAGTCCTTAAGTGAGACAGACATGGTATGGCCCACAAAGCTGACAGGACTTACCATTTGGCCCATCGTGGAAGTAGCTTGTTGACCATACATAGCCTGGCTGCGGGTGCTCCCTGACCAGTCCCACTGAGCACTGGTGTCTACCCAGGCCCACCACACCCGCCCACTTTGCAGGGCTGCTACTCTGGACCACACCCCTCCGCTCCCCCCTTGTTCTAGCCATTCTCAGGAAAACTCAGCCATTAGGAGAAATCCCTGAGCCACAAGTCTTGAGTTCCGGGGTCCCTATATTAGACTCCAGTTTTCAGGCACCAGAAGGAACATGTGATGCTGTGACAGGCCCCATCTAGATGAATGGAAGTTCCCGTGAGCCCACTCCATCATCATGAACAGGACTGCCTGACTCGGCAGGAGTCTGCCATCACCATCTCCACTCACTGCCAGCTGGCTGATGGCACTTCCTCCTTAGGCCTGGATCCCTAAGAGTAGTAGGCAGTCAAGAGGCAGGAACTAATTCTGGTCCCTGTGAGAGGGGCCTCTTTCCTCTTTGAGGCTCTCCCCCTTTCTTTCTAAAGGAGAGAACTCCCCCCAGAAGGCTAGGGAGCTGACCTCCCCAACAGCCTGATTAGACTCCAGAGCTCTTATGCTGAGAACAAGTCCAGAGCTTTGATGAGAACTCCTAGAGCTCCCTGACCTGGTCCAGCTGATCCCAGGAGTCTCCCCCTCTTCCTCCCAGGCTTCGTCCCCCACCCCCTCCCGTGACCCGTGAGAAGGCTTTGTTTCTTGGCCAGCCGGGTGGACACACTGACCTTCTGCTTTCTGCATGTCTGTGTTGGGGAGGTCTGTCCTGCAAGGCAGTGCTGAAAGGATGCTGGTCAGAGTGGTCAGTTAGTACTCACCTCCCGTGGAGTCTCCGAACCCAGCTTCATTCAGGGACTCGGGGCCTCCAGGGGCACCAGATCTAGTAGTCAGGGCTAAATCGCTTTGTCTCGGACAAAGCACTAAAGACACGGAAGCGGCGCGTCCAGGGGGGTAGGCTGCCCACGGGCTGTTCTAGGAACAGCATCCGACATCCGAGTGCCTTGAGGCCCGGGGCCAACAAAGGCTGCGTCCGCCGGCCATCCTGGAGACAGAGCTCCAGGCAATGTCCACTTGATCCCCATCTGCCCCACGCAAGACCTGGCAGGAAGCCGGCCACCTACGCCCCGGGTAGCAGGCCGCTCACCCCGCCTCTCCAAGCCAATCACCCGAGTCCCGAGAGCTGGCGGGCCCCGGGCCTGTGAACCCGCTGAGCAATGGGTTCCGCGCGGCCTGGAGAGCTCCGCTGCTGGCGGCACACGAAGGAGAGGACAGGGAAGGCTGGCGCCTGGCCGGGGACTAGAGCAGGCGTGGGACTCACAGGCTGGGCCTGGAGGACCGTCTGCTGTGCTTGCAAGCCTCTCCCGCCGTGGGCAAGGGGCGCCAGACGCGGCGGGGGCGGGGGCGGGGGCGGGGGACCAGACTCACCGTGATCCGGGGAATGCTCTTCTTGCCTTGGAAGGACATCCTGATCCGCGGGCGGGCTGTGAATCCCCGGTAGGGGCTGCGCGGGCGCGGACGTGCCGGCGGGGTACACGCGCGGAGCTTAGAGAGTCCAAGTGTGAGCTAGCCGGGCGCAGAGCTCCGATTAGCTCATTTGCATATGGGCCCCGCCCACCAACCTCATTTGCATCCTGGCCCCTCCTCCCCGCTCTAGTTTGTGCTAGCTTGCTCGCGATCTCTTTCTCTCCCTCTCTCCCTTCCCCTCTCCTTTTCCTTCCCTCCCTCCCTCCTCCAAAAGCACCCTGGAGGCCACAGGCTGTGACCACTGCACCCCAATCCGCCTGTGCTGAGTGGAGAGGGATGGTTTGTGACCTGTCGGGACCAACATGTATTAAGTTTGCATTTGGGGAAGGACAGGAGGAGAGATACCTGTCCTGCCGGGCCCCACCTAGCCTGTTCTAGCCCGCACCCCAGGCTCCAGGGTTCAAAACTAATTCTCATTTCTGGGCGGAGGCGCTGCAGGAGCCAGAATATAGCCTGGTATCTCTGGCAAAATCCAGACATCTTCAAGAAATGACTTCAGGCTGGAGTGCAAGAGCCTGGCCTGATGTGACCATGGGACCGTGGTGCCTAAACAGACTGTTCTTTGGCAGCCTAGGGCAGGAGGGAGAGAACAAGTTGGAGGGGCAGAGAGAAACAGCCAAGATAGAGATAGATAGATGAAAGGGCTGGACCCGGTACTGCCACGGAAGACGGAGGTGAAGACTCAGGGTAGAGAAATCCAGTGGAACCGATAGCTGGTTCCTGGTCCCTGCTGCCTGTAGGACATATAGCCAACAGCCTGGGTCCTGCTTCTTCTACCTGCTGGACCCCACAGGCTAGGGCCAAACTGAGTGGCCCAGGGACAGGTTTCATTGTCTGGATCAACTCTGCCTGGCTCTTCATGATTACTTCCAAGGGGTCACATGGTTCCCAGTGTGGCTTGCCAACCTGAGGACCTCTTCAGCTGACAAGTGATGCATCCATCCATTGGTAGTGCCTTGTTTTCCCAGGCATCCTCCAGGCAGCAGAAGACAACGCTGAGCTTGAGCCCAGCCAGAGGCTTCACAGACATGTAGGGACATAATGCCATCATGATGGGAGTGGGAGATTTGTGGCCAAGTGGCCTCAGCCCCCAACATGAGGTCTGTGCACAGGTCACATAGAACCCGACATGCACCAGCCCCGTAGTCTCCACAGAGCCCACATTAAGCCTTTCTGAGCTGATGCTGTCCATGAGCAGAGGGTGCTGAATGCATTGGCCAGGACCAGAGGCACCTACAATCCTATAGGACCCTGGTGGTTTGCCCTCAGGACACAACTTCTGCCCCACACTCAGAAGGCATGGTGAAAGACATGAAGCTGGTGTCTGTTCTATTCCAGGTGCTGTGGGCGCGTCCATGCTGGGCCATGATACAAGGAGAGGTCTAAGGATTTGCAAGGACAGCCTAGTCTAAAGCCAAAGTCAAGGGTTTGGGATGAGACAAGGCAGAGGTGCTCTCAGACACACCCCCAGCCTCAGAAGGTCACAGGACAATCATTGTTGTCATTGTAGAGTCTACTGTGATGGGTTTTAAACAAAAAGACCCCATCTTCACATTGTCCACTCAGTCAATTCCTTTAGAACCCATGCTGGGACAATAAGCTGCTGGGACAATCTGGGGGACCATGGGCCAGCCAAGGCCATCATCTTCCTTCCCACCTGCCCTGGACTCCCATTCCCTCAAGTGCACCTGTAAACCTCCACTCCTCAGCGGTGTGAGAGCCTCTAGGATGGATGTAGCCAACTGTCCTATTAAGATGCCAAAATCCTTTTCCTTTCCTTAGCTACTTGAATTCCTCTCCATGCTAGAGTACTGGGTAAAGCCACTGGAAGAGGCCTTCTTGGTAGTCACTCTCAGCTAATGGCTGCCAGATTCTTCCAACTAAAAGGCTGTCCTTCCAAGGGCTTTAGAGATCTCTGGATGAGGCTGCAGGTAAGGTGTGTGCTTCCCTCCCCAGTGGGTACAAGGCCCAAATTCCCTTTCTGGCATGGAAAGAGGCACTGCTGGCCAGATGGTGGAGACAGAAAAGGCTAACATAGACAATAAATTCACACTTTAATAATACTCATGGAGACACCTTGAGCTAGGATTTAAAACAAGTTTTATTAAAACTGTACAATAATTTACAAATAAGTAAAAAGTCTCTGGTATATATTATAGGAACCACAATACAAAAATATGTGTAAAATTTGTAATTGACCACCATACAAACCTAGTTTAAGCCTGGGAATACTGTTTAGCACTGAACGGAAAGGTCACGTGTTTAGAGGGGGGTGTTAAGGACTGTTTCATTGAACACAAATACTGCCTGGCACTTTGCCACAGGAAACCAAGTTCTGCTCCTCTTTGCATAAGTTTACAATAAAGCTTTTTAGAAAAGATACAATAAATATATGCTTTGATACATATATTCACAATAGGATTTTCCTGAGCCTAAACTTAAATCCATCACTGTGTTATAACACACAACCCACCTCAAGGGTTCAATGACGGAGTGATGGCAAGAGCTGATCAACTGTCAGTGCCTTGAGGCTGCTCTCCACCCTCCCTCCCGACTCCCAGTTGGTGTTTCCAAGCCATGTAAGGCACTCAGGTTTCCTGAAGGCTACAGAGTCTGCGAGGGCAGAGACTTAAGTCACAGCCATAGGCCTTCTGCAACAGAACGCTAGACCATAGGAACGAAGTAGACACCATGTGGCTGTTCACAAAGGACTCTGCGGTTTATGTGGATTTCTAGTTTAGACAAACAAAAATGCTTATGCCGTTCTGTGCCGTGCACACAGAGCTGGCGGGCTGACAACCTAACGCAACATGAAGTCCAGGCCCACACCTCAGTGACACGGTTTGAGTCCCTGGGGGACATGTCAGGGTCCCCCTTCTTGCTTCACCGGGGCAGTGCCATGGCACACGGATGTCCTGTTTTAGGAGCTAGCAGCAAGATCTCAGATGTGGGAGGGAAGCCCCTCTAACCCAGCACGTGGGGTCAAAGGTTCAGTCTGGGATTTAGAAAATGCACCTTACTTTTGAAATGCTTGAGCTCTTCAGGTGCTCACTGGCAGCAAGAATCGGTAACAAAGGCTCACATGTCCACCGCCCACCCCTCCCCAAAGTTCAGATCTGACTTTGGGATCATGTGACAAGAAGATGCATATGACACATGGATAAAAACAATGAGATCTAAAGAGAGTACAGCCTCCCGGCTCAACATGTGCTTTCAGGAATACAGCCAGGTGGAGATGCAGTTTGGTTTGTGGGCTATTATCTAACATTCATTGAGTCATTTTCCTTTCTATGTACATATACTTTACACATAAACAATAATGACTTCATGATCATTGGTACCTATTTACATGCTTCTCTGTCTTGTATAGTCCTTCTTTAAAACAAAAACAAACAAACAAACAAAACCAAAGTTCCCGGACCTGTGATTTAGAGTGTCAGGGGTATTATGAAGTTATTCCAGACACACACACAACATGCAAAGCCATGATCCAACTAAACCAGAGGGATGTGAGGTGGGGCAAGTTTCCAGTGCAACTTTTTTGTTCCCAATCAGCTACTGTTCTCTTGCGAGTTCACTTGGAGCTGGGCCAGGAGCTCAGCTGGGCAGGGAGCTGCATGGAACTGAGACAGTTGTTTCTAGATGCCTGTATTGTACCGTCCCTCAGTCTCTAACCCAACAGTTTACCTCACCTACAGATCGGACAGCACTGCTAATACAGGCTGTTGTTGCCATTCAGGACTGAGAATACAGCAAATGGACCAAGAGAAGGCGGTCACTTAAATCAAACAACAGCATGCACTCGGGGCTGAGGATTTCAGACTCAAAGGCCAAACCCAATGTCAGGCTCAGCTAGGGAAGCCATGACGAGGCCAGAACCTTATCCACGCACATCAGGAACCATGGCATGAATGGCAAAAGGAAGGACCAAGTGCACTTAGTGCATTTCCTGGCAGAAATCCTGCAGCCACTGAAGAAAAGGCCCGTGTGTCCAATCCTGTAAGCTTTCCTCTGATTTTGACCTAGGGGTTTATAACCACTCGGTCATCTGCACCACACTGGAACATTTCTCCTGACACAAATATACAATGAACTTAATACTTTCAGACAACCTTCTCATTCCTCCCCCTGGCTACTGGGCTTTGTAATATACAATGCTGAGTGTAACAGTCACACCTGCCTGCATATCTCACTACCCAGTGCTTTGAAAGGGCTCTAATCCCTTCCCTGACCTCTCACTGAGCAAGCACACACATGAACACACATGTACACACATACACACACCCTCCTAACTTCAGTACAGAGGGTGACAACCTTAGACTAGCAAGGATGTGATGAGGCAGAAGAGCCACCTCCAACCAGGGATGCAGTCTGGTCCACACAAGGGAAGACTTTCCTGGGCTGTGGATGGACCAGCCAGCATAATGGAAATCTCACTTGAACCGTCCTCATGGATGCACTGTTTTCTCTCTGAAAAAAAGAGTAGAAACGAGGGCTTTAGTGTAACGTACTTGAGACATGCGCACGAGTGTTCACAATGTGGGGCCGCGCTCGAAGATCAGGGTCAAGAGAAGCGCCGAGAGTGAGGGTTACAGCCAGAGTGCTCTTCATGCAGGCAGCAGGTGCTCCATCACGATGGTGCTGGCTTTGTGGAGCCCCCACTAGTGGCCCCTCTGGAGCCTCCGGCTGAGCAGACACCCTCCTAGGATCCTGCACATTCACACGCAGAGTGGAATTAGTCTGTATTCCTCCGTGGAGAATTCATCTGAACCTTCCCCCAGTGGTCCCTGGAGGCTGCCAATTTCCTCTCAATATCCTTCTCTTCTCTGAGCTTAAAAAAGGTGCCTCTGCCAGCTTCTTTCTGACTTTCCCTTATTACCTTCCAATTTTTAACGTTTCTAACCACACCAAAAGAGCTGCTGAGGTTTCTTTCAAGTAGATCAGCCCCTGCTATAGGGTGTGCAGGAAGACTCAGGACCACAGATGCTAACGCTAACCTAAGAGGATATTACCTCACATAGAATAAAAGAAAAATAGGGGCTGGAGAAAGGGCTCAGTGGTTAAAAAGCACTCGTTGCTCTTCTAGAGGACCAGGATTTGATTCCTAGAACCTCATGGCAGCTAATGTAACTCCAGCTCCATGGGATCCAGTCCTCTCTTCTGGCCTCCGCTGCATGATTATTCTTCACAGATACACAAGCAGGCAGAACAACTCACACACACACAAAAATTTAAATAATAAAGATTTAAAAGTTTTAAAGAATTAAAATAAGTGGTCACATTATACATATGCTAACGTCTGCACAAATTATTGTTGGAATCGATGCTGTCACAACATGCTCTCTGCCTTTAACCTGATTCACTTCTGAATAAGTTGTTACAGAACCATCTATTTTTAGAACGTTAAAATGGGGGAGGGACTTTTTCCATTCCAGACCTTGTATTTTGCAGGTACAAAGTCAAAGCTCCAAGAGAGGATTCCCATGGTGACGCTCGAGGCTGATGAGGCCTGAGGCCTTGAGGATCTACTCTCCAACTCTCCCACCCAAGGCTCTTACCACATGCCCATCAATCCTCACACCCCATGTACTGACTCTATGAATTATGTGATCAACTGTCCAGAGTATGGACTACACATGAACAAGAAGAAATAAAAATCCATTGAAAATAATGCAGAATTCTAAATAGCCACTCCCAAAGTCAGAGGGAGAAAGGCCCTTCAACCTGGGGTCATTCCCTCTCGCTTTCTGAGTGAGCAGCTGCCTCCATTCATTGCTGCTGTCTCCAGGTGGATGGCTTTCTGCCTTCATGTGTGACTGCAGGTGCAGGTGCACGAGTGCTAACACACACACACACACACACACACACACACACACACACTCATGCACACACACAGTTTCCAGAATGAGTGGCTCTCTGTCCTCATCCATGATGGTGCCATATGACATAGGCACACTGAACATACTCGTACATCTGTGCACCTCTGTATACAACATATACATGCATACAGCAATTCACATACATATACAGACACACAGTGTGCATCCATACACACACACACACACGCACCGTTTCTAGAATGGTTGAATTTCTGTCCTCACCCATGACTGCACCACACACAATACATGCACCTACACATCCATATAACATGCACACTGGGCACATACACATATACACAGAGACATCGTTTTGGTCCCAGGGTTCTAGTTCTCCCAAATCCCTTCTGCCCCAGTCCCCAAGTCCAAGCCTGTGAAAATATGCCATTCTCCACTCATCTATTCCCTTTCTGGACACTAGCTCAGCTTCAGCTCGGGTTGGAGCCATTCGGGGCACAGGGTTAGCAAGAGTAAAACCCTCTTGTGTGTCTGGCCTCGGTATCTGTGGCCCATGGGGCTCCCCAGTGTTCCATGTAACTGCTGGCTCAGTGCTAGCTCAGACCCCCAACTCCTCACTCACAAGTGCCCCTGTAGTCAGGAAGCCTGAAGCTCCTCTCCTGCCCACAACCTGGCGTTGGGAATACAACTTCTGAAACAAGACTCTACCTGCTCGGACCACACACAGGATCCGGCTACAGCAGGCCCTGCCTTCCCTCCCAGGTCTGGAACTTAGTGGACTGGGGTTGGGGGGCCAACCAAGCAAACCTCCGCAAAGCCTGGAGCTATGCATCTCAGGTGGACTCCTCCTAGCGGAAGTGCTGCGTAAACGTGGCTGTAATGGGTTGGCAGTGAGGCTGGGGATACCCTGTGAGTTGGTAAACACATCCAGGGGCTCAGCTCGTGGAACCAAAATGGGTAGAGTGGGGTGGGGCTGAGGGTAGGGTGGTGACAACAGGGTTGTCCCTGATCCCGCCCCTGCGCTTGCAGTGGGGAGCTCAGCCAGCAGGCAGGAGGACCCAGGCTGTTGGAGCTGCAGAAGCAACACCCATGGGGAGTGCAAGAAATGGCCCTGGCATATGGATGGGGAAACAGCATGCTGATTTATGTCAAAACAGAGGCAGGGAGCGGCCCCGCCGCCGCCGCCTGTGTTTGCATTGAGAACTTCCACAGGCTCTCAGCTGTTGGGAAACAGTGAGCTGTTGGCACAGGAGATGAACACCTTCCCGGGTCCCCAAGAGTGCAGCTTGGATCAAAACCAACTGCTGCAGATGGTAACACTGGAAAAAGCTGGGGGGCCACAGCCTCAGTCAGGCTGCAAAGACAGAGTTCCCATCTGGGGAGCCCACTGGGAAGGCTGGGACCCTGCTGCCCCTGAACACTATGCCCCAGGGCTCCCAAAGTAACCCACCACAAGACACTAGAGGCCGGGCTGAAAGCAGAATCTTCCTGATAAGCTCTCCTTGTCCAGTCAACATTAGCCAGACACGTTTAGGCCAGACAGAACCAAGTGGTATACTGAGGCTATTTTGGAGCCAAAGCCTTCTTCCCAACACTCTAATTTGGGATATCAAGGAACAGACAAACGGATCAGACAGACAGCAATTGGGCGTCTTCTCCCTCTTTCTCACAGCTGCTCCATCTAAACCCCTGGGCTAGCACACGGGCCCAGTTCCCTAGCTCCCCTCAGCCTCCCGCTCCTGCAGCCTCAGGTCAGTCCAGCCCCTCACCTGCCTCCTGAGAAGAACACTGACTTCTTGGCAATACCTGTCCTCCCTCTGGGGCTTCCCGGAGGTGCTGACCACTGTGTATTCGGCTCTCTCCACTCAGAGGCTTCTCCAAGGCCCTAAGAGCCCCGCCTTTGAAACGGAATGGGGGATGGGGGTGGTCTCAGGTCTCCTTGCTTTGATATCTGCCAGCTGGCAGGCACAGCTGCGGATCCTGCCCAGGCCCAGCCTCTGGCGGCTCTGTAGCTCACTTCCCCGACTCTCCTGAGCAGGGCTCAGCTTGATCCCTGGCTCAAGCTCCCTTTGAAACTCATTCTCCCTTTGAAGCATCTAAATTGCCACTGCAGGACTGGGAACCGAGATCAGCCCTCTCAGCCCCTCCTCCTGGGGCTCCAGCTTGAAGGCTGCAGACTGGGGAGGTGTGTCTCGGCCTCTGGGGTCACAGGAGCCAACCTCTGTAATCAGTCTGTTCTGTATATACATACGACTGCGTGTGTTCAGTGGGTTGTTTCTCTAGAGGACCATGCTCACCTTGGGGTCGCTGCTGCCCTCCCTGCTAGGCAAAGGCAGAGCTCCGGGAAATAGTTGTGGTTGCCTCTGGGACCCCAATGCTTTGAGGACCCAATTCAAGATTCTGAGAGACACTTTGTTTAGGTGGGAATCCAGGAGCTCAATCTCCCAACCTCACCCATTCCCCAGACGGCAGGCAAGAAAGGCTTGGGTTCATGGAGAAGGCTGGGCCACAACCTGGGACCTCACACAGAAGGCCTCACATTTCCAATGCTCCCACCCGAAGCTCACCATTGGAAAACTCTAGTGATCTCTCTTTTGTCCCACCCTCTAGGGGAGGCCCTGGATAGGACAGAGAGCGGGTGGGTTGCTGCTATAGAGTGCTACACTCCGGCACGGACCACGGTAAGGAGGAGGCAAGCAGAGGCTGGAGGTAGACAAGAGCCCAGCACCAGGCAGGAAGAGGGATTTGTACTATGGGAATCGCGCTATGCCCTAGGCTCGGTCCAACACAACAGAGCACACCGTGATCTGAAGGCTTAGAATCAGAGGCTCATGAAAGAGGGTACGCAAGGACCTCTGGACACTCCCCCCGCCCCCATGCTTGTGAGAAAGGTGTGCACATAGTATGGGACCCGGCACCTCTGCGGCCACCAATGCTTTCTGCCTGCTGTTTCTCATTGCTTTGTGATCCTTCAGGCCTTAGGAGCAGCTGCTGAGTCCTGTCCTCTCTGCTGATTCCCGATCCTCTGCAGATGGAGGCAACAAAGGGCTGTGAAGTCCAGGGAGCCCAGCCCCCAGAGCCAGAGCAGGAGTCCAGTCCCACTAGAACCTGAAGAACCCCGCTCTGGGCCTCACACCAGGCAGGAAGGGGGATCCATGCTGTGCCCCAGGCTTACTTTACCACACCAGGGCACACAGTGGTCTTGCCTAAAGCTTGGAGCCAGAGTCCCAGGGCCACAGCTCCTGAGTTCTGGGGAGCCTGGGCCAGCAGAGTGACACAACTACACAGTCCCCCAGCACCACAGTCCCCTCCCCGAATCCTGTCAGCTCATTCTGGAGACACGGAGCACTGGCCTGTTCCTACCCAGGGGCCCCACCTCAGCTCTCAGAGAACTGTCAAAAGTGAGACACCATGCCTGGGTAAAGGCAAGGAGTAATTTCAGGGGTTGGGCCAGGCCGGACACTTCCAGGCCTTTCTTTGTTCATGGTGGACATGGCTAAGGCCAGTGCTCCTCAAGGCTCTGCCTGTACTCCTGACTGAGCACATTGCTCAGCCTCCCTTTGCCTGACTAGATACAACTAACCCAGTGGGTGGGTGTGCACACACACGACCAAATGCACAGGCACTTAGGTGTGG